CGACATGAAGGCCCATCTTGTCAAGAAAATCTTGCTGAATGCGCAACTTTGTTGCTGTGAATTCAGCCTCATGCCTCGTTTTGCACCAGTTCATGAAATCGAGCCTATATGCTGGCCGTCCTCGCTTGTTGGTGATACCGGATGAAGGAGAGGGTCCTTGGAAAACTACAACATCTTCGAGCCAGTCACTATTGACTAGCATGAATCGGTCCAATTTGCGTTATTTTGTCTGCCAGCGACGCTGGAATTCACGCCAGAACAGGTTGATTGTAGATTCAACATCGCATTTCACCCGATCACGAATGAACTTCCGTTTTTCTGATATTTTGTACGTAGATTCCAAGATATCTTTTCTTTTTAAGGAAATTTCTTAATGTTGGAAAATACAAATGATAAACAAAACATAACTTCATTGCATAAAATAACTCACCAGAGGATTTGAAACCCATTTCAGCTAGATGAAACTTGAACATTGATTAAAGCAACTGGAGAGTATTTAAATTCAGCTGTTATACTCTGAATACAACGTTTATGTTTCTTTATAAGTATAATAAAAAAGGCATTTTTGCTCTGAGATTTTATCTTAAAAAAAAAAGAATATTATTCAAGTAACAGCTGTCATCCACAACTGAAATTTTATATACCTGCGAAACTATCTGATGTCATTGTACTTCTAAAGCACAATGTTTTGGCTGTATACCATAGGAACGTATTTTTCACTTTTAGGACCACAATTGAGCAATTCTCTACAGATTAACGAATTTTTTAATTTTTTTTAATTTGTCTGCTTCGATTTTGATGAAAATTTGCACAGTTGTTCTTTTTTAGTAAAGATGCCAACTTGTGTTATCAGTTCTTCAAATTGAATCACGACTACTTTTCTAACAGGGCCTGTGTAAAAATAGTACTAATGAGTTTAAAAATATATATTGCTGAAACGGTTTGTTGGATTGATTTGGTGTCTTGAGCAAAGTTGTAGATATTATTTCGGCAATAATGTTAAAAATATACACTGTAAAAAATTTCGTTTGTTTCAATGAAAAAAAAAAATATTTGTTATTAAAAAAGTTAATTTCTCAAACAGTACATGAGTACATAGTTTTACACCTTATTGAAGCTTATAATGTTTGCTACAAACTGGCAAAGTTTGATGATGGTAAACTTAAAAACAAAAAAGTTATGATTTTTTGAAAATTTTACGATTTTTACATTTTCATTAAAAACACATGTTTTTCAACCGTGTATATTTTTTTAAGAATCGGATTTTAATTTTACACAACTTTTTCGATGACACCATAGCAATCAAGCAAGCCGTTTTTGCAATGTATTAAAATGTTTATTTTATAAGCGCTTTTCTACACAGGCCCTATTGGAAAAGTAGTCGGGGTTCGCTACCCCGAAAAGAAGCACCGTGAAATCAACGAAGGTATTAGAAAGAATCTTCTCAACTTCGAGTCTGATGCTGACGAAGTGAATGAACTCAAAGAAGTTTTAGAAAACACGAAGGAAAAGTTTTCCAATGCATCCACTGCAAGGAGTGAAAAATTATTAATTTTATCGTTATTGCCTTATTCATGGTCAACACAAAAAAATATGCATCAATTTAATGCTGGTAGATATATTGCAACAGAGGCTTAGTTGATAAAGGAAGGTCATTCGTCAAAAACCGCAAAATATGGCACAGCCTTAAGTGATGAAACAAAATTGGCAGTCATAATTTTATTTTAAAGATGATATAAGCCGGGCAATGCCTGGTCAAAAAGATTATGTGTCTGTGCAGAAAGAAGGAAAACGACAAGCCATTCAAAAAAGATTACTAATGATGACTTTGATAGAAGCTTATAAACGATTCAATGAAATTCACTGCAATGTAAAAATTGGATTCTCTTCATTTGCAAAACTCCGCCCTAAGCAATGTAAACTTTTAATCAGCTCTGGAACCCACAATGTTTGTGTGTGCACAACGCATGAAAACATCAATCTAATTTTACACAGTTTGAAAAAACTTAACCATTTAAATGATGTAAAACGAAAATTTTCAAAAATGTACTTTTTGAGAAATTAACTTTTTTAATAACAAATATATATTTTTTTCATTGAAACAAACGAATTTTTTTACAGTGTATATTTTAACATTATTGCCAAAATAATATCTACAACTTTGCTCAAGACACCAAATCAATCCAACAAACCGTTTCAGCAATATATATTTTTAAACTAATTAGTACTATTTTTACACAGGCCCTTTTCAAAAAGTAGTCGTGATTCAATTAGAAGAACTGATTACACAAATTGGCATCTTTACTAAAAAGGAACAACTGTGCAAAGTTTCAGCGTAATTGGAAATGATCGGTCAGGATCGATTTGCGAACCTTCGTGGAATGTCTCAATTAAATTAAAGACAGAAGTAAATAAATGAGCTAGTTATGATTTCATATAATGAGAATCCTACCCAGAACATGTGAAAAATAACATTAAAATATTATTGTGCCTAGGAATTATATAAAAAATTAAAAATATTAAATAGCATTGATTTTCCACCAGAAAAGCTAAAAACAACCTCTCACTCGTCTAGTCATACCTCAAAAGCAATTTGTCCAATTTATTTGCTCTTGGAAACGCATCAAGTAGAAGAGTTTTCCAAAGTGAAAATTTGAGCCCAAAATATTAAGAAATAAAAAATCCCGCCCATGGGTAAAATATGCCATTTTTACAATTTGGATACCTGCCGGTAATCATTATATTAACTGTATTTACTATAACGAAAACAAAATGTGGGTACACCTATGTGCAGGAACTTTAAAAAAAAACCTTTCAATTGACGTTCTAAGATCACGAATAGGTTTATTTTGTTGTGGAGTAATCTCGTTTGAAAGGTGAATTTAAAAAAAAAAAATATCGAAAATCCATGGTTGTCGCCCAGAAGCATCTAGGCACTTAAGAGTAAAATCAAAAAAGGCGTTTGTTCAGAATGCCAAAATAAGCGTTTTGCCCAAGTTTGGCTCAAATCGGTGACATCGACCACAACTTTTTTTTTCAAATTCTGTACCCACTTGAGTTGGAATGACCCATATGTGAACTGTAGCTTAACTTAGCTTATTTTAACTTAATGCCCCATTCAACTTACTAACCTTTTCAGGATTATTTAATTCGGCCTGATAGTATTTGGCCTAATGGCCCCGTAACGTGGGTAGATCACCTTTTCGTGGTACGTTACGGGATGTAAGATCTACCACCGATTCCTAGTCTTGACTACTTCAAACTAGGGGAACAGGATTTTTCAGTAATCAAAGGAACACATCTTAGTCCTTGTTACTTTTTATGCCTTGTTGATAGTGATAAGTCCTCGGGTTGCCTGGACCGAGGATGATCTTGAAACAAGGGAAAAATGAGTTAGTTAGTCTTCATCTATGTGATTCCTAATCTTCTATTCGTTGTTTCCTAGTTTGAAGTGGTTAAGACTAGGGTTCAGATGCATGGTCACTATCGGTGTCGTTCCTTAATTTTGTTGCTAAGGAATCCAATTTTGACTGACAAAGGGGCGCGCCTTTGAAGGGTGTTCCAACACTCCGAAGGGTATAAATAGCGGAACCTATCAATTAGAATCGATTCCTTGCGATGAAGGCAAGAATGACAACTGTATCAAAACCGAATACTTCATCATTTTTCAATAGTGATGAAGTAATACGACATGCACTAAACTAAGGACACGGGATATACTACAATAGATCAAATTACTGGTCGCAGTAGTTTTATGTCCCGAACAGAGGCTTGAAATCGTCCCTTCCAGAGGAAGCTTATGAAAGTAAATACGGAATGAACTATAGTTGCTTTAGACCACTTTACATTAGACGATTAAACACAGGAAGAGACGAACCAGCTAAGGGCTCAAAGTCTTTATAATAAAGCAAAAGAAGAAGGCAAATTAAACACAGGATTTCCATTAGCTCCCTAAGGTTCTTCAGCCAGACTATAACTTCAGCAGGGTCGATTCCCGGTCTAGTCTATACATGTTTTTGGGCTTAGAGAATTTTTCGACATCTTCGTATCGACAGTATCAATAAACGAATTTACCCTCTTCAATACTAGTTTTTACAGAAAAGTATACAAAAAATGCACCCCCTTATATTTCAGCTGCTAGTTGATATGATGGTGAAAAATTGCTTCCATACGTAGCACTTTGAACCTACTATGTGAATGGAAGAAAAAATCTGTTTAGTGAAAGTCAACACTACTGAAATTAACGACTTGATGCAAGTTGTTAGATACATCCTTCGTCTTTCGGCGTCATAGCTCAACCGGTATATTGGGTGGGCAAAATGCACCCCTCGAATTGTAGTGTGGAATGCATAACCATCAGGCGCGAACCATTGAAATTCAGTTGAGGAAGAACATAGTTACATCACAGACAAACAGACGTAACTCTTCATTGTGTATCTTCGTTCATGCATTTAACGGTTGATTTGAATATTATCAGTTTCGCGAACTACTCGCCGCAGCGCTGGCATCGGATCACTTTGACGTTTCTATATATTCTATAGAAATTTCATGCAATATTGTTTACGAGTTAGCGAGCAAGCTTGTTTTCCGCGAGAAGCCAGATAGATGTCGCTACTGAGGTTATATGTTTTGAGATACTATGTTTTCAAGAACAAGTTTTTCAAAGAGTTACGTCTGTTTGTCTGTGGTTACATCCTTCATGCATGCTTCTTTGGTATGAAATCACTATGCGCATTTTACCCCGCAGTATTTCGAAAACAAATTTTAGAAATTTTCGTTAAGCATATCAATTGCAACATCTAACCAATAGCCTAATACAATATTTAGATGGCATTGCACTTCAATATAGAATAGATTCACTTAGAGGAATAAACGGGGATCGACCTTAGCATGGACATTTTACCCCCATCTATTTTTTTTTGAGTGAAGGTTGTTAACTTTTTTTTTCATTCATATTTTTCAAATTAATTAACCTTTAAAGCATTGTATTGCATACTTACTTGTCCAATCCGCGGAAGGCATCCGGCTCCACCGACGTAATTTTGTTCTCGTAGATGGTCAGAATCTCCAACGTGTCCAGTCCCTCAAATGCCCGGTTGTGCATGACCGAAATTCGATTGTGATTCAAGTTCAGTATCAGCAAGTGATGTAGGTTCTTGAGTGCGCTCGAGGGAACCGTCAGCAGCTGGTTCTGGGACACGTCCAGCTGCGTCAAGCCACGACCTGTCGTCAAGTGGGATCAAACAGAGGGAAACAAAATCGTTAGATCAGAGATTGAAGTTTTTTTTCCGTCGTTTTTCTTATGTAATACGATATATTTCAAGCAACACGAGGGGTGAAAAGTTGAACGGCTACACTGACACTGTTATGGGAGTTTGCTTTCCGTTTTGCTTACAGCCTCCAGGGTGTGAAACATTTTACCACCCACGGTCAGTTCACGTTATCGTAAATCTGACGTGAAGCCCTTATAAAAAGCATAACAAGGTGCGATATAAGAGGATTATCCAATGTGTTCCATGAGGGAATCCAAAGCTTTTCACGCGCCGAAAAATAATCGTAATTTAATATCACTTACCCAACGAACTTAACGATGTTTCCTCGATGGCAGCTAAACTGCTGTTATGGATGGTCAGATGCCGGATGTCGAGCGAGAGGAACACAAAGCCTTGCAGTTTAGGCAGATTGTTATGTCGCAGTTTCAGATAGAAGATAATGGGATTCTTCCCTTTCAACGCGCTCATTGCCTTGGTAATGTGTTGCACGTCGGTCGCTTCGCACAGGATGTCCAGACCGTTCTTCTTCACCTGACACTGACATGGGCTGATTTCGCCTACCTGAGGACATGTTTGCGGTGGATTGGACTGGGCCGTGACCGGAGTTAATAACACTAGCACCAACAGCACCAGTAAGGGCCCCACCGTCACCGTCCTCAGTCCAAACGGTAGCCGTTGCTGGCATTGCAGTTGACAGCGGGACCGTCGTTGTCTTGACGACGTCGTGTTCTCGGTGCTGGTGACGGTGTTTAGGGTGTTGATGGTGGTCCTTGCAGTCCTCGTACTCCGGTGGACATTCCCTGACAGCATCTTCCCGCGGAAGCCGTCTAGTGTAGTTTTTTCTTCTTCTTTCGAGACAACACGTTGATTACGTCAACATCTGCAAACCAGAGGAGAAATTGTATAAAACTATTAGATCAAAGCTGTGGTATAATAAGGATTGTATTCAACAATTAAATTCAAATTAACCCAATTGTTTTAAAATAACCAACGGTTGAATCAGCAAACTGCTACCCCACCGCCAAACCATCGCCAAGAGCTGCATTAATATTCATGCTACATTCCACGAAATTTAACAAATTGTTTTCATTCGCTTCTCTGAATGGAATTTTCATTCCATTCACATCACAACGCTGCAACATTTCCACGCTTTGTACCTCATCCAATTTCGTTCCTATTCACAGCAAACCGAATGGCTTTCGGTTATATTCCAGATCCAGCTGTTTTAACCCTCCTTCTGAAGCAAAACATAGAGTATAGCCAGGCCAACGAAGCTTACCGGTAAAAATCCGTTCGCAGTTGTTGAATTCTGACATAGCACTTTGTTTCAGAGCTACGAGCCGTTTCGTAGAAGGATGCAAACAGAGTTGACCAAAGCTTCCGCATTCACAAAATCACTGAATCATAAATATGGGGCCTTTTTTTCGCCGAAATAAAGAACATTGTTGCTCCGGATGTTTTTTTTTTTTTTTCCTTTGGTTTGTTTTTTCCGTCGATCTTGTTTTCCGTGCTGAGCACCAATGCTACCGACATGCCAGGAAGGCAGCTCCCACACCTGGACCCTACCTATCGACCCATCAATTCATGAACCGGGGACCAACGGCTTTACTTCCCATCCGAAGGAAGGCGTGATCAGAGATGTTATTGCCCCAGAACATCCCGGCGGCGCCGACTGGGATTGAACCCAGGCCTGCTGGGGTGAGAGGTAAGCACGCTTACCACTACACCACCGGCGCCGTTATGCTCCGGATGTGATTGCTTGCATTTTTCGACGGTGTATTATAAAATCAATTATGCTGGATTCTGGATTTTTTTTATTTGAAGCAACTAAGGTGAAGTCATCACCCTTCTTCTTGACTTAAACGTTCCAGAAGAAACATTGCATCTGTCTGTTATATAGTAAGCATTAAGCACATCCGCATTTATATATTGTGAGCTAACTAAGCTTTGTATAGCAGCAATCTATTTATATAGTAGCATACCGTATCAAGCTCACTAGTGCATTATGCTTCAATATCAAGTGACATGCACATTAGAGTGATGCAAAATTTGAAATTTTCGCTCCACAATACTTAAACGATTCCAAATCGGATCCTGACTAACCTCTCAAAATTTGAACCCATTTGGTGAGAAACTGAGATGGCACAAACCATTTGAAGTTTGTATGGGAATTACTATGGTAAAACCAAGATTTTTGTGCATGTCTATCTTATAATTCACCATATCAGTCTGCTCCAAAAACATTCAACTGTACTTGTAGGAAATTTTTCCAGCTACAACTTTGCTCCAGACCACTTTTTGATTAAATGTAAGGATAGAAAGTTATCAATGGTTCAATGCGCTGATGTCTTATGATCATGCTCAATCAACTGCTCAACAGGCAACATTGGTGTTTCTGGGGCGTTGAATAGGACACAAAAATCATGGCTACTATGCCACACTGCAAAATACAGTGTTGCCTACAGAGCAGCTGCTTGATCATGTCATAAGTTTACCAATCTCTTAAATAATCAATAACTTTTTCCTGTCTCGTTTTACATAGAAACAATGTTAAGCAAAGTTGTAGCTGAAAAAATTTTCTATAAGAATAGTTATCGAACTGTTTCGCAGCTTAATATGGAAAAAGACTAGAAGGCAATGAACAAAAAGTTGAGATTTTCCCATAGTAATTTACACGTAAACTTCAAATGGCTTGTGCGAAGTCTGTTTCTAACCAAATGAGTTGTAACTGTGGGAGGCTAATCAGGACCCGATTTGAAAACATCTAAGCACTGTGGAGCGAAAAAGTCAAATTTTGCATCAGTCTAATGCACATGCAACACCACAAGACTTTCACAACTTAAAAATTAAATAATTAAAACGCCAAAATTAATGCCCTGCTTATTCAACCAGTGACCAGTGACCAGGGTGTTACAATATCAGCTTCAATACACAAAATCGATGTAACGAAGAGACTGTTAGCTATATTTTCTATTGAAGCCGAGTAGCTTCGCAGCATTCTAGCATCTTATTCGGTGTCTACAAACAAATTTTCAATCGTTTCTCTTTCTTTCTCCCTTCGTTTCATTCGTGTTTCTTCCAGGCTCCGGTGAAGCGTACGAGTAGAAAGAGCGATCGACTTTGATAGTTTCGTGTTTCAAGAAACGCACATCAACCGAGTTTTCATGACGTATATGACGGAACATGAAAATGTATATTTAAGGCATTTCTCAAGTGAAAACACTTCCCTAATAAAAAATGTTTGGTTATCTTGCTCGGGGTATCATCCTAACCATTTGTGAAAAATTTCGACTATTTGGGTTATCGTTCATTTATGGTATTTGTTTATTCGGGTTGACGATTACACGGAATTTGAATAATTTATCATCCATTCATATATGTATCTAGGAAATGGAAATAAAATAGGATATAACGCATGCAAAACAAATTAACAAAGCAGGTGACAGTGTCATTGAAAGGGATTGAAAGCCATAATGAGGTTTCGTTTCAACTCAAAAATCGACGTTACTTTCATTGAAAAGGATGAGCAAAGCAACGACGAGAAAATCCACATCGTTCTAAGCGTGCTTCTTTTTCATTTTCCTTTCGTGCTGATACTGTAGCTAGGCGATATATAAATAAATGCGTTAAACACGTTCTGAACATACCCCCATTTTGTGGGATTTGACAGATTTTTTTTTTAAACCCTATGGCCACGATCTTTAATTCCAGATCCCATACCCATATTGTTGGGTATTTGACAGTATTTAAACAACCAATGACCGACATCTTGAATTCAAAAATGGCGTCCAGCATTGATGTTTTGATCTTTGTACGTCATCCTCCTTCAGAAAATACCCATATTGTAGGATTTGACAGACTTTTCTCTTTCAAAAACCGATGGTAACGATCTTGGATTCCAAAATTGCGGTGGACGTCGATATTTGACCACTACACGTTGTCCCCATTCTTGAAATATTCTTATTGTTGGGTATTTGACAGTATCTATAAACCCAATGACTGCCATCTCAGTGGACTAAAAGCTCCAAAACATGCATTTTTTTAGTTTCTGCAAAAACGGTCCATTTAAGCCATACAGTGTCTTCGGAGAAGTTTGTTCACTGAAAAATTCCCTTCTTATGGGCTTAGCAATTTCATGAATAATCTACCTAGCAGGGAGATAAAGAAATTACTTTTTTTTGTATGTCGGGATAGCAAATTGGTATCTTTAGCAAAGTTTTAGAAATACTAAATCAAACATTTTTGCTCAAGACGTCAATCCGCTATCTCTTATGTTTACCGAGATATGTCATTTTTTTATAAGAGCCTTCAGAAAATCAATGTTTTGCAAAAAAAACCAAGAAAGCTAATCAAACCATGCGTTTTGCATTGAGCCGATACCGATTCAATGTGGTTTTACCAGTTTTATAGAATAGTCTCTCGGACGGAACGCTTCTTACCATTCTTGATAAATAGTCTCGAGCAATGGGGTATACATGGGGATTAGGGTGTTTCATTTTGAAAAAAGTGATGAATTTTTGATAGGCCACCCTCCAGTTCGATTCATAGCCCCAAAATATGAACCTGTGCAAAAAATGGTAAAGATTGATGAAGGTTTAGAGGTCGCGCCAATGATTTGGATTTTGTATGGAGATTTTGGTGAATTAGTATGGGAAATTATTGATTTTCGTTTACATTGCTCTAACTTTGGTTGTAGTTGTCCAAACGTTGAAAAAAAAAATATGTGGTTGTCATGACAATGATCAACAAGCCTGTTGTTGTTGCGATGAAATTGGCGTTGTTGCCTTGTACATATTCATCTGTCAATTTACCCTATTTTGCCATTTTTTCACATTTTTATAATTCTTGATACGCTGCAAAACTGAGCGTAGCAACTGTAGGCTTTTTGTTTATTGCCATAGCAATAACATACTAAATTTTTTCGACATTTGGACAAGTAGAAGCAAAGTTATAGCGATATAAGCGATTTTTTAAATTCTTCCATAGTAATTCCCATACAAATTTCAAATCATTGGCGCGACCTCTAAACCTTCATCAATCTTTACCAATTTTTGCACAGGTTCATATTTTGGGGCTATGAATCGAACTGGAGGGTGGCCCATCAGAAATTCATCACTTTTTTCAGAATGAAGCACCCTAATGGGGATATTCACTACGGATTTTCTCCCATGCTTGAAAAGGATCGACTGAACGTGGGAAAACAGGCTGATGCAAGACATTTTGTAATTCAGCCGATATGTCCCCATGGCGATTCAGTTCTGACATAACAGAGGACTGATGAACCTGAAATATGTCATAAGAAGTGAATATTTCTACTGAATTGTCACATTGGTTGTTTGCAGAATGTTCAAGACAAGTGATGTGCAAAGGTGATGACAAAAAATCAATATTAAATTGCAAATGCCAATGCACAGAACATTTTTTTTTGGATCGAAACAAAAATCGAATGAAAAGGATCGATCCAGTCGATTTTTGACGTGTGCTTGAGAACGATTCAAAATAAAGATTAATCGAACCAAAATAATCGATCTTTTGTGTTTCGATCCAAGATCGCCCATTGCTAGTTAGCTCTATAGCTAGCTTGCTGGTTTTATTAGGTACAGCTAGAGTCGGTGTATAATGAGTCACGCCAAGAGTGAAGCCAAGTCTACCTATTGAACTGTCAAACCGGCTACCTATCGTGCAAAGTAAACAAGCATTACGATGCTATGAAAGGTCCACAAAAGGTATTGCAATTAAATATTAAATATAACCGAAGAAATGATCATATACACGCAGTGAGCATTACATTTGTCATGCGATACGTTTTGTAATGATCAGTAATGACAATTTCTACTATTTTTCCTTAAGATAATTCGACAAATCACTGATATAATGATT